AGGGTCTTAAATAAATTGGGTATGCTTTCTTTTATAGACACGTGCAGACGGAGATTTTTTCACAAAATGTTGAATATTTCAAAAACGGTAAAATTTTGGTATAGGTAATGCTTAACAAAAAGTATGTCGAATTTTAAGGGTAATTCAAAAATGTAATAAAATATGGGGTGTTCCATTTAAATTTACGAAGTTGTACCTTGTACTTTGTTTTTGCAACACCCTGTATAAACAAAAATATTTTTAGGTTATGCACCTTCGAGCACCAAACAACTTTATATATAAACATTTTCTTCTAGCGACACCCTGTAAGGAGATATCGTCCGATATCGCACTAATTGGACACCCGGTATATTGTCAATATCTGAGTATTGACAATATTATTGAACGTGTGAGTAGAAAGATTGACATATTGTCAATATTGAAAGTATTGATGGGATGGTTTGACGAAAACGAAAATATTTGATATATTGACAATAAATATTGACAGTCTGAGGAAAAAATCTTGAACATTTTTTGGAGTAGATACGCAAACCTCATTCAACAAATTTATTTGAGAAAACGTGTCTCTCTTTAGAAGACACGTATGTGTCTTTGTTATATGTATGACATCTTTGAATGCTAACGCAAAACTAAGTAGATTGTCAATAAATATTGGTAGTCTGAGGCAATTACAGTTTGTCAATATTTATTGATCGTGTGAAGGGCGCTTAAAATAGAAACCAGTTGAAAAGTACAAAACCAAACTCTAGATAATTTTCTTCAAAAATTTTTACACGAAACATCATTTTGACTCTAGTATTTGTGATTAAATTTATGCCACATAACGCGGTTCAATTATAAACTCAATAAATCATCAATTAAGATTCAAAAAGCTTCTAAGATCATTAAAAAAATCTGAATTTATTGATGTCTGTCCCAGAAATAATATTTTATTTTTTTATGCAAATTAATATTAATAAAGAAAACGGTTACAAGGTTAATCAAAAATAGGAAAGATAATTTAGAGATTAAACTCTCAATGTTAAGGACACAACTCCATATTAAATTTAATCTTTATCAATAATAAAAGATCGTTCACCTTAAAATTAAAGAACGCATTGCATCATCAACAAATTTTACTTTCTCTTCTTAAAGATCACCAAGTGAATATCATTAAAATCTTCAAACAATTTCACACAAACAAAAATTGTTTGCTTTCTTAATAAACAAGTTTTAATTAATTTGTTATTAAAACCAAAATTTGCTGGGCTACTCTAAAAGCTTTAGATTTTCAACAACAAAAAAAATAGTGTTAAATTTATTTTATAAATTAGCTAAACATCTAAAAGCAATTATTTCTTGCAACAATAAAATTCGTTTGAGCAATACATTTTTTATTCCTTGTCAACCTCATTGCATAAGAACCTATTCGAAAAAAAGAAAATAACAAAAAGGCCGAACAAAACGAAAAGAACATCAGATTTCTCCGACTTTAATAATGCTCTATGTAGGTACAACGGCACGCCACAGAACGTTAAATCGCTTTCACAATCTCCGAAGAACGCACCGGATGAACAAGCATTCGAAAACAATCAAACAAGAATTAAAAAGATGGTAGAATTCGGATATTTATTAATTTTACTCGCACAAAAAATCCTCGCGGTTTTATTAATACCGTATTTTTGGTGGATTTCGAAAAAACCCAAGAAAATAATTCCAAAAATCGATAACCCCATCTTATTTTATAGTGCAACAAAACTATCAGAAAAAATTAGAAATCGAGAGGTAAGTCCAACTTTTTAAATTAATTAATATTAAATTAATCCAACTTTAAGCTCACATCCGAACAAATTATCAAAGCTTATATCGACCGTGTAAAAGTAGTCGATATAATTTTAAAAGCTGTGGTTCAAAATCGATTTGACATCGCTTTGGCCGAAGCTAAAAACGTCGATGGTTATTTAAAATCGTGCGATTTAACCGAAAATGAATTAAAAGTTAAATATCCTTTATTGGGAGTTCCAATAACTGTCAAAGAAAGTTGTAGTTTGCAAGGAATGTCTTATAGCGTTGGTTCAAAACTTCGTAGAGGAGTCGTTGCAAAATCGGATGGAATCGCTGTTAAAAAGTTAAGGGAAGCCGGGGCTATTCCAATTTTAGTTTCAAACACGCCCGAATTGTGTTTATTTTGGGAATCGAACAATTTAATTCATGAGAGGACTTGTAATCCTTACGATACTAATCGAACGAGTGCGGGGTCTTCAGGAGGAGAAGTAAATTTAATCAAATATACTCAGTGGTAAAAAAATGCATTATCTAAAATGATGAAAACAATGTAACTAAAAATATACTATGTAGTAATATATTATGTTAACTAGCACTGCTATTAGAACTAACACTAGATCGAGAACTAGAAACATTCGGATTTAGCCGCACGTCTTTCAAGACGGCTAAAGCCGAATGATTCTAGTTCTAGGTCTTGTGTTAGTTCTAGAGATAGTGTAAAACTAGAACTTACACTAGACCTAGAACTAGAAAAATCGTGTTTAGCCGCGCGTCTAAAGACGCTATAAACTTTCTAGTTCTAGGTCTAGTGTTAGTTCAAGTCTCAGTTCAATAAAAATATACAACATAGTAATATCTTATGCTAAATAGCGCTATCTACCAATGCCACTAGAACTAACACTAGATCGAGAACTAGAAACATTCGGATTTAGCCGCACGTCTCTCAAGACGGCTAAACCCGAATGATTCTAGTTCTAGGTCTTATGTTAGTTCTAGTGACAGTGCTAGTGTAAAACTAGAACTAACACTAGACCTAGAACTAGAAAGTTTCGGGTTTAACCCAACCCGGAATTTACAACCCACTCTCTGCTCCATGCCCAACCCGACATTTGTGAAATTCACACTGGTTTAAATGTTAATTAACCTAACGCAAAGTGGAATTTCTACAAAAAATTCTGAAAAGAATCAGTAAATTATTATGGTTTAAAGAGGGGGTCGCATTTGGATGCCAAAGAATCAACTGTTGTAGCAGTAATTTTTAAATCTGTAACGGATGGGACACAGAAAGATATCACTCAACAGAAGAATAGTTTCAGTAAATAGTCTTCAGCCAGTGGTATTAAGCACTTAGTAGTGTTTTGGCAGCAGTATACTGTTTTCTGAAAGCATTAAATAGTCTTTGCCAACAATATCTACCTTTCTCCAAGCAATTAGTAATCTTTCCAACAATATTTAGCATTCTGAAAGTAGTTAATAGTCTTTTGGAAACAGTATGTTGTCTTTCCAAGCAGATAATAGTTTCTTCCTGCAGTATTTAGTTTTCTCCAAGCAGGTCGTAACCTTTTCTAGTAGTATATAGCGCTCTGAAAGCAGTAAGTAGTCTTATGGAAGCAGTATCTCGTCTTTCCAATCAGTTTGTAGTTGTTGGTTAGCACTATCTAGTCTTCTCCAAGCAGATTGTAATCTTTTCCACCAGTATCTAGCATTTTGGAAGCAGTAGATTCTTTTTTGGAGAGCATATCTCTTCTTTCCAAGTAGTTATTAGTCTTTTCCAGCAGTATCCGGTCTTGGTCTGGTATCTAGTTCTAGGTCTTATGTTAGTTCTAGTGACAGTGTTAGTGACAACACTAGACCTAGAACTAGAAAGTATCAGGTTTAACCCAACCCGGAATTTCAACATGATTGCGATCCTGAGTTATTGCACTTCTACAATACTAATAAATTATCTTCTGTTTCTACAGAATTTTCCTTTTCTTTAGTTTCTGAGGAAGAGGTTTTGCAAGCGCTTAATCGAATTAAAACAAATGCTGTTGATAGAGATGGAGTTACGAAGCAGATGCTTGTATTAAGTTCTCCGGTGACATCGCCGTACATGTGCCACATTATCAACTTTTGCATCGAAAGGTCGGTCTATCCGAGGCAGTGGAGGGGTGCTCTTGTTAAACCTATTCCTAAAACTTGTACGGTTGCTTGTTTGCAGGATCTTAGGCCGATAAATATTTTGCCGGTCTTCTCTAAAAGATTATTGTCCACTAGGTTGTGGTCACATTTAAATGCGCATTGCATACTACCTAGCTTACAGTCAGGTTTCCGTTCTGGGTATAGCTGCACTACGACTCTTTTGTATATCACGGATGATGTTTTATGTGGTATTGATGACGAGTTGGCCACGGGTCTGGTTTTGCTTGACTTTTCCAAAGCTTTTGATACTTTGCATCATTCGCTCTTGATTGGAATCTTATTCCGAGCTATCTTTGTTACCGTTCACAGCGAGTAGCTTGTAATGGTGAGTTATCTGCTCAAGTTGAGGTCGTGTCGGGTGTGCCGCAGGGTTCTAGTCTTGACCCAATTCTGTTCTCAATTTATACTTCCCAACTGTGTTTGGCTGTAAAGCACTGTACGGCGCACATGTACGCTGATGACATTCAATTATGCTACACTTTTCCAAAATCAAATCTAGCTGTGGCTGAAAGTAATATTAATGCTGACTTGAAGGCTTTGGTCAATGCTGCTAATGAGCACAGTTTAACGATAAATCCATCTAAGTCATCGGTGATGGTCTGTGGGAGCCGATAATTTCTATTAGTTTTCAATTTTTGGTAACAAGAAGTCTTTCTATTCTAGTCTGCCGTCATGAAGTTTAAGTTTATATATACAAAATGTAGAAAAAGGACCAATGAAAAACAGCTGACCCACTGGTAACGCTGACTTGGTCCTTTTTAACTCATGGCATTTAATTTTTGTTTTATTTTAGTTTTTAAGTATTTTGTTATAGGGGTTTATAATGGTGTTGTGGGTTAATAAACATTTTTATTATTATTATTAAATTACAACCCACTCTTTTTTTTAACTCAAAAGTAGAATTTCTATACAAAATTCTAAAATAAATCAAAAATTAGGTGTATTCAAATGTCCCTCTAAAAAGATAGATTTGGCATCTGGGTGCCAAAGAATCGGGTGTTGTAGCAGCAATTTTTAAATCTATAATGGATGGGACACAGAAAGATATCACTCAACAAAAGAATAGTTTCAGTAAATAGTCTTCAGCCAGTAGCATTGTAATCTCTAAGCACTTAGTAGTGTTTTGGCAGAAGTATATAGTCTTTTGAAATCATTAAATAGTCTTTGCCAACAATATCTAACTTTCTCCAAGCAATTAGTAGTTTTTCCAAGAATATTTATCATTCTGAAAGTAGTTAAAAGTCTTTTGGAAACAGTATCTTGTCTTTCCAAGCAGATAATAGTTTCTTTCTGCAGTATTTACTTTTCTCCAAGCAGGTCGTAACCTTTTCTAGTAGTATAGAGCGCTCTGAAAGCAGTAAGTAGTCTTATGGAAGCAGTATCTCGTCTTTCCAATCAGGTTATAGTTATTTATTAGCACTATCTAGTCTTCTCCAAGCAGATGGTAATCTTTTCCACCAGTATCTAGCATTTTGGCAGCAGTAGGTACCTTTTTTGACGAGCATATCTTTTCTTTCCAAGTAGTTATTAGTCTTTTCCAGCAATATTTAACATTCTGGAAGCAGTATTTCTTGTCCAGATAGGTCGAAACCTTTAACAGCAGGTTCTGGAAGCAATAGGTATTATTTTGAAAACAGTATCTAGTCTTTTCAAAGTAAGTTGTGGTCCTTTTCTGCAATATCTAGCATTTTAGAAGCAGTAGGGAACATTTTGAAATAGTATTTCCTCTTTCCAAGCAGTTTTTAGTCTTTTACTGGCAGTATTTAATCTTCTGATAGCAATAATTAGTGTTTTGCCAACAGTATCTAGCAGTCAGGTACCAATAAATTAAGAGGGGGTAGGGCATCAGGTATAGATTTTATGTTACCTTTAGTTTATAGATGGTAAACAACGACATTTTAGTATCTAACATTCTGGAAGCAGTATGCATTTTGAACTGCATAACCGTTATAGTAATCTATAAAGCAGGCGTTAATTTATTTGGCTTTTAAAAGTAAACCTGCATGAGAATCAATTGTTGGTTCTCGTGGGTGTTGTGGAAATTTTGCCGCGCATCAATTTACGCTTCTCATGGTAGTCAACGTTTTAACCCGAAAGTTTCTAGTTCTAGGTCTAGTGATAGTGCTAGTTTTGTCAAAACATCAAAATGACACTCAACTTTAAACATTTCTGAAGAAGCTATTTTTAAAAATATGGAAATGATCTTTGTCAGGTTGAAGTTCTGTGTTAGGTTTATCTAACTAGCTTGTTTTCTGTCAGTTTTTGCAAGCCTCTCGTAATAAACAACACATCTACGACATTTTTTCATTTGCAACTTCTTGATGCAAAATATGCGCATTCACCAAACCAGCACCCAAGATTAGGTCACTGACCATTGACTTTCTATATTCGATCTTCTATACCATTTTACCCCTCCTCTACGTAAAGGTCATAAAGCTGCTGAAAAATTTGGTCAGTTAAATCAATGTTTTATACTGAGAGTGCAAATATTATGTTTATCTTTCCACTTTTGAATGACTACACCTGTATTGCTTTCTGCTGCAATATTTTCTCCGTTTTGTAGCTTTTTATTCAGAATGTGTTTTGGATTAAATTGTCTGTTGGTTCTCAGTGTTCCAACTAAGTGGGTGTCTTCTTCTGTAATTGATGCGCTAACGAAATACTAGTGTAATAATTATTCGTATAGATTGTACGTCGTTTATCTAACAGGTTGTCAGCCAAAATAAGAATTACTGTTTCAGAAGAAGGCTGGTTTGGTGTTTTGTCCTCCTTTCCACAATAAATTTGAAAATTATACGTGTATCCTTTGTCGAGACATAGTTATATAGTTTGATGCCAAACTTGTTCCTTTTGTTTACTAAGGTATTGGCGAAAACTTAGATATTTTCTTTGGGAACAATCAATTAATAAATTTGCTAAAGGAACAATTTTTTGTAACTTATTTTCAGTTATTACTTCATTATTATGAAAATACCATGTTTTCAGCAAAAATTGGAATAGATTGCGAGGAATTAGATCTTTGATTTTGGACGGAAACTGGCAGAGATCCATCCAAATCAAAATTCCAACGATACATTCAATTTCCTCTTTATATGTGCCATGCCATTCGTGAATCCTGGCTTTGAGAAATTTTTCAGCAGCTCTATACTGGGCTGTATATCTGTTTGTCTCTGTTACCATTAGCTCTATGACCTCGGAGGTTAGAAATAATTTGAAAAACTTTCTTTCTTCCAATACGCCAACATTTGTTTCAGTAAAATGAAAAAATTTCTTGCATATTTGCTTGAATAATATCATTTATCATGTCCAATAAGCTATCTGACACGTCTTCGGTTGTGGCGGATGTGCTTGGCTTATTTACATCTCGTAGTTTTTTTTTCTGGCAGGACACTCCTGCCACAATTTTTGTTGTTCTTCTTAGTAACTCATTTTTACAGACACTTTTTATACCGAAAATTAAACACTACCACCTGAATTCAACATACACTGTGTTAATTAATTATCGTACCCGACGTCATCATTGCAAGTATGCAACCAATATCACAGTATGCGTATTGCAATACCCATACTGTGATATTGGTTGCATACTTGCAAACGACTAAATTTGCAGTTTGAAATTGGTCATCATTTTAGGTGATGCATTTTTTCTGCCACTGAGTATATTTTGAAGAAAAACTAATTTTTTTATTTAAAGGGAAGTTTATTGGGGAGTGGTGCTTCAATAATAGGAGTCGGATCCGATGTAGCCGGTTCAATCCGATTACCCGCGATGTTTAACGGAGTTTTTGGACACAAACCAACTTCAAGTACATAAATCATAAAATTAAATAACTCAAAAAATTAATTTAATTCATATTTTAGGAATCATCCCAATAGATGGTCATTACCCATCAAGTATAAACGACACATTAAAAGATTTCTTAGTAATTGGCCCCATGACGAGATACGCCGAAGATTTGGCGTTAATGACAAAGATAATGTGCGATGAAAAATTAACTTTAAACTGGAATGAGGTAATTTGAATCAATTTAAATCAAAAATAAATAAATCAATAAAACAACATTCATCGTTAGATAGATACAAGCAAATTAAACGTTTACTACGAATATCAACTCGAAAAAGCGTTATTTACCCCAAAAACTCACAAAGACATCGAAAGGGCGATTCAAAAAAGCGTGCAAAGTTTAAAAACGTATTCAAACGCAACGATTAAGCATCACAAATTCGATTTGAGTAATACAAACGAAATGTGTCTCTCGATTATTTTCGATATGGAAAATATTCCGAATGTTTTAATGGAATCGATGAAACCGAAAAAAGTATTATTTTTTTTTTAATTGTTATATTAATTTTTTAATAATCTATTTTTAGTCGAGACATCTTTACTTGGAGATATTAAAATCGCTTTTATTTTGTTCCGATTATTCGCTTCAAGGATTATTTTTTTACGCTTTACAACACACGAACGTTTTTATATCGAAAAGAAAATGTGATTTTTATAAAAATAAGGCGTTAATGTTGAAAAATGATTTTTTGGTGAGTTATATTAGATTTTTTAATGTTATTTTAAAACTAGAACTAATACCACACCTAAACTGCTATCAGTGTTAAAAGTCACTTCAGAGTCAAGTTTTTTATAAGATGTTGCGGAGAGGGGAGTTCCATCCAATCAGAAAAGATGGTACTGGTGTGTGTTCTAGACAAGACGGCGCCGCCTTTATTCCTTATGTAGGCAAAATAAAGGGGCGACGTCTTGTATGGAACGAAATATCCTTTCCGATTGAACGAAACCCCCTCTATCCGCATGGCTTATTTCATTTTCTTTTTAATTTTGCTATGAAACAAAAATGATATGACATTTATGCTATAAAAATAGAATTTCTCCTTTGAAAATGACATTTCCAACTTGACATATCATATTTTAATATTATAAATGACATCTCTAACTTGACACAAATCATAAGGAAGTCGCGGTTGGGTTGGTTTTAATTGGATTTGGTTGTATTTGCATAAAAATGATATTTCAACTTAAAAAAAAATATCCCCACCTTGACATATGACATTTAAATCTTAGAAATGACATTTATAACTGGAAATATGACATTGCTAACTTCACACATGACATTTATGCTTTAAAAATAGAATTTCTACTTTGAAAATGACATTTCCAACTTGACAGGTCATATTTAAATAATATAAGTGACATTTCAACTTTGAAAATAACATCCCTACTTTGACAGATCATATTTAAATAATATAAATGACATTTCTGACTACTAATATTTGGGTTGGATTTGATTGGATTAGGTTGTATTTCCATAAAAATGACATTTCAACTTTAAAAATAATATCCCCACCTTGACATATGACATTTAAATCTTAAAAATGACATTTATAATCAGTAATATGACATTGCTAACTTCACACATGACATTTATGCTATAAAAATAGAATTTCTACTTTGAAAATGACATTTCCAACTTGACATATCATATTTAAATATTATAAATGACATTTCTAACTTGACACATATCATAAGGAAGTCGCGGTTGGATTGGATTTGATTGGATTAGGTTGTATTTCCATAAAAATGACATTTCAACTTTAAAAATAATATCCCCACCTTGACATATAACATTTAAATCTTAAAAATGACATTTATAATCAGTAATATGACATTGCTAACTTCACACATGACATTTATGCCATAAAAATCGAATTTCTACTTTGAAAATGACATTTCCAACTAGTAATATGACATTGCTAACTTAACACATGACATTTATGTTATAAAACCAGCATGTCTACTTTGAAAATAACATTTCCAACTTGACATATCATATTTAAATATTATAAATGACATTTCTAACCTGACACATATCATAAGGAAGTCGCGGTTGGGTTGGGTTTGATTGAATTAGGTTGTATTTCCATAAAAATGACATTTCATCTTTGAAAATAACATCCCCACCTTGACACGTGACATTTAAATCTTAAAAATGACATTTATGATCAGTAATATGACATTGCTAACTTCACAGATGACGTTTATACTATAAAAATAGAAGTTCTACTTTGAAAATGACATTTCCAACTTGACATATCATATTTAAATAACATTAATGACATTTCCAACTAGTAATATGACATAAAAAAAAAAGAAAGAAAATAGAATTTCTCCTTTGAAAATGACATTTAAAACTTGACATATCATATTTTAATATTATAAATGACATTTCTAACTTGACACATATCGTAAGGAAGCCGCGGTTGGGTTGGGTTTGATTTAATTAGGTTGTATTTCCATAAAAATGACATTTCAACTTTAAAAATAATATCCCCACCTTGACATATGACATTTAAATCTTAAAAATGACATTTATAATCAGTAATATGACATTGCTAACTTCACACATGACATTTATAATCAGTAATATGACATTGCTAACTTCACACATGACATTTATAATCAGTAATATGACATTGCTAACTTCACACATGACATTTATGATATAAAAATAGAATTTCTACTTTAAAAATGACATTTCCAACTTGACATATTATATTTAAATATCATAAATGACATTTCTAACTTGACACATATCATAAGGAAGTCGCGGTTGGGTTGGGTTTGATTGAATTAGCTTGTATTTCCATAAACATGACATTTCAACTGTGAAAATAACATCCCCACCTTGACATATGACATTTAAATCTTAGAAATGACATTCATAATCAGCAATATGACATTGCTAACTTCACACATGACATTTATGCTATAAAAATAGAAGTTCTACTTTGAAAATGACATTTCCAACTTGACATATCATATTTAAATAATATAAATGACATTTCTAATTTGACACATATCATAAGGAAGTCGCGGTTGGGTTGGTTTTGATTGGATTAGGTTGTATTTCCATAAAAATGACATTGCTAACTTAACACATGACATTTATGTTATAAAAATAACATTTCTACTTTGAAAATGACATTTCCAACTTGATACATCATATTTAAATAATATAAATGACATTTCTAACTTGACACATATCATAAGGAAGTCGCGGTTGGGTTGGATTTGATTTAATTAGGTTGTATTTCCATAAAAATGACATTTTAACTTTAAAAATAATATCCCCACCTTGACATATGACATTTAAATCTTAAAAATGACATTTATAATCAGTAATATGACATTGCTAACTTCACACATGACATTTATGCCATAAAAATAGAATTTCTACTTTGAAAATGACATTTCCAACTTGACATATCATATTTATATAACATAAATTACATTTCCAACTAGTCATATGACATTACTAACTTAACACATGACATTTGTTATAAAAATAGCATTTCTACTTTGAAAATGACATCTCCAACTTGACATATCATATTTAAATATTATAAATGACATTTCTAACTTGACACATATCATAAGAAAGTCGCGGTTGGGTTGGGTTTGATTGGATTAGGTTGTATTTCCATAAAAATGACATTTCAACTTTAAAAATAATATCCCCACTTTAACATATGACATTTAAATCTTAAAAATGATATTTATAATCAGTAATATGACATTGCTAACTTCACACATGACATTTATGCTATAAAAATAGAATTTCTACTTTAAAAATGACATTTCCAACTTGACATATCATATTTAAATATTATAAATGACATTTCTAACTTGACAGATATCATAAGGAAGTCGCGGTTGGGTTGGATTTGATTTAATTAGGTTGTATTTCCATAAAAATGACATTTCAACTTAAAAAAAATATCCCCACCTTGACATATGACATTTAAATCTTAGAAATGACATTTATAATCAGTAATATGACATTGCTAAATTTACACATGACATTTATGCTATAAAAATAGAATTTCTCCTTTGAGAACGACATTTCCAACTTGATATATCATATTTAAATAACATAAATGACATTTCCAACTAGTAATATGGCATTGCTAACTTAACACATGACATTTATGTTATAAAAATAAAATTTCTACTTTGAAAATGACATCTCCAACTTGACATATCATATTTAAACATTATAAAAATGACATTTCTAACATGATACATATCATAAGGAAATCGCGGTTGGGTTGGATTTGATTCAATTAGGTCGTATTTCCATAAAAATGACATTTCAACTTTAAAAAAAATATCCCCACCTTGACATATGACATTTAAATCTTAGAAATGACATTTATAATCAGTAATATGACATTGCTAACTTCACAGATAACATTTATGCTATAAAAATAGAATTTCTACTTTGAAAATGACATTTTCAACTTGACATATCATATTTATATAACATAAATTACATTTCCAACTAGTCATATGACATTACTAACTTAACACATGACATTTGTTATAAAAATAGAATTTCTCCTTTGAAAATGATATTTCCAACTTGACATATCATATTTAAATAACATAAATGACATTTCCAACTAGTAATATGACATTGCTAACTTAACACAAGACATTTATGTTATAAAAATAGCATTTTTACTTTGAAAATGACATCTCCAACTTGACATATCATAATTAAACATAATAAATGACATTTCTAACTGGACACATATCATAAGGAAGTCGCGCTTAGGTTGGGTTTGATTGGATTAGGTTGTATTTCCATAAAAATGACATTTCAACTTTAAAAATGATATCCCCACCTTGACATATGACATTTAAATCTTAAAAATGACATTTATAATCAGCAATATGACAATGCTAACTTCACACATGACATTTATGCCATAAAAATAGAAGTTCTACTTTGAAAATGACATTTCCAACTTGACATATATTTAAATATTATAAATTACATTTCTAACTTAACACATGACATTTATGTGTTAAAAACTTGATATACAGGTGTGTCAAATGTCTGCAATATAGCCAATAACTTCATCATATGTGGTTTTAAAAGAAAATGTTTCAAATACAGGTTTCTTTATTAATCGTGGCGCATTTTCTGGCGATATTTGCTTGTTTGTATTGTTTTTTGTTTCGTTTCTATGGCAACCAACATTGTTATTTTAAATGGGATGCATATATTTTCTTTGCAGGATAAAATATTAAATCAGCATATTACAATCAAAGTAGGTGCCGAAACAACGCCGTTGACAGCTTTAAATGTCAAAAAAATGATAAGTTCAACAATTATGAATAATTAATAATGTATGGGGACGATGACACACATTTAATGTAATTTATTTCGTCATTGGTAGCTGTCTTTGGCCGTCCACTTTTTGGAAAGATTTTTAACACTTCCAGTGTTAAAGAATTTTTTTCATAAAATTTTTTTTTAAAGCTGTCAACGGCGTTATTTCGGCGCCTACTTTGGTTGTAATTTGCTGATTTAATATTTTCAGAGAATGGATTTTTTTCTTATAATCATATATCCTCTATCAAAATATGCATCCCATTTAAAATAATAATGTTGGTTGCCATAACAACCAAACAGAGAACAATGTAAACAAGCAAATATAGCCAAAAAATGCGCCACAATTAATACAGAATTATTTATTTGAAACATTTTTCTTTAAAACCACAAATGGCGGAGTTATTGGCTATATTCCAGACATTTGACACACCCTGTATACAGGGTGTCCAAATTTCGATGGGTTTATCTCAGTTATTATGACAGATAGAAAGTTGCGGCTTTCGGGAACCTGAGCTACTTTTTTGTGAAACTTACAATGGCGCAAACCAAATTCTTCGTTTTTGATATACAGGGAGTGTTTCAAAATTTACGATTTTCAGACATCTCCTGTATCTCAGCTATCAGTAAACGTAAAAACGGGTTCTAATAGATTTTTTCACGTAGAATCCAATGGTGCACGTAGAATTTTTCTAGTCATCACGGTTTTTGAGTTATAAAGAGCTGAGTATTTTAGAAGTTGAGTATTCAGTATTTGAGTTGTGTTTATAACTCAAAAACTGTGATGACTAGAAAAATTTTACGTGAAAAAATCTATTAGAACCTTTCTGGATAGCCAAGATACAGGAGGTGTCTGAAAATCGTAAATTTCTATCTTTCATAACAACTGAGATAAACCCATCGAAATTTGGACACCCTGTACATATTATCTACGTGTTAGTTCTAGTTTTAGTTATTTTTCAGTACCAATTCTAGTTTTTCATTCCCCTTATAAATATGTTTTAAATTTTATTACTTTTAGGAAAAATTAGGGAATAACGGAGTATTTTTATTCCCGACATACCCAACATCAGCCGTTTTACACAATAAATTATTTGTGGAAACATCCAACGTGGTTTACATGCTGTTATTTAACGTTTTGGGGTTCCCCTCAACTCACGTTCCAATCGGAAGAGACAGTAATAATTTACCAATTGGAATTCAAGTAAGTAAACCAAGAATTTTTTAGAAATACCAACTTTACAGATTCCTTTTTAGGTGGTAGCAGCACCTTATCGCGATAATTTATGTTTCAGCGTTGCCAAAGAACTAGAGAAACAATTTGGGGGGTGGAGTGAACCTTAGATTTAAAATTTATAATCAAATAAAAATAATTAAAAGTACTCACCCCGCAGTTTTTTCCAATTTAGGGAAAGAAGTTGGTGAAAGAAATCTGTAAATAATTAATTGATAAAAATTATTGGAGAATGTTAAAAGATAATTAATTTACCTCTGTTGAATGTTTTATTTCTTCTAATAACTCCGATTTTTGAGGAATACTAGGCTATTTTGGTTTTTTCTGCTCATCACTAAAAAGTAATAAGAAAATTATATTGACGAAAAATGTGATTAAACTTAAATTAAAATAGGTTGGTGAAATTTTTTTAGATTTGAAATTAAGGATGTGAAATCAGAAAGATAAAACCTAAATCAAAAAAATTCATTTATGACAATATTAATTTGCAAATATGATTCTATTTCAAGTGTAATAATAAACTTATAACAATAAGAGAATCACCATCACAGAGAATCATTTTTCTTAACCTAGTGAGAATTGCTACAACTTCTGGAGACAATAAATTTAAATTAAAAAATTCTTTGAAATATCCCAAATGATTCATTTTTAACAATAAGTGAAGCCAAGTTCATCATCACAGAGAATCATCTTCTTAACCTAATAATTTTTTGAAAATAAAAAAAAAACGGATTAATTTGGCAGTGAAATTAAATAACTATCACTAATTCTATATAATTTCTTCTTGAACTACTTCATTTGGTTCATTAACATCCATAATATTCTCGCTATCTGATTCATTCGTCGGTAAAATTTCTGGAGATGTAAAATCAAAAAGTTCTTTGAAATGTCCCAAAGTAACAAGATTTGTGTCCCATTCCTTTGACTTTGAGGCAAGCGTTTGATAAATTCTTTCTTCTATTGTGTCTTTAATAAAGAATTTATGAACAACCGTAGATTTTGTTTGTCCAATTCTATGAACTCTTCCAATCGCTTGCAACTCTTCACCAGGATTTAATAAAGGTTCGGTGAAAATCATGTGAGTAGCTTCGATTAAATTTAAACCTTTCCCACCTAAATTAACCGGAATAAGTAGAACCGTTACACCTTTTGACGTATCCTAGAAGAACGAAATGATAATAAGCGATAAAATAATTCGATTTTTTTATTACCTTAAAATTTGAAAGGGGTTTATCGAAATTACCACTTTGTAAAACCTCCGATTTGATATCGTTTAATATAAATATCGATTGCATTAGTTTAAGTAACGCGGCCCAAGTTGAAAACACCAAGATTTTTACGTGTGCATTTTCTTCTTTTAACTCTAATATTAAACGAACGATCGCTTCGACTTTTGACGAACAGTTTCCTTTGATTTGATTCGAGCTATTCGTAGCATCTTTTGAATCTTTATGAATGTAACTTATGTCAGAAACGCGAATTGTTTTTCGACAAACTGGGCAACTGATGAATTGGCGTTTATTAAAACCAATTTGCTAAAAAATAACAAAAAAATGTGATAATCTTTATTTTTCTATTTTCTTAATAGAACCGCGTTATAGATCACTTGACTAAGCGGCATTTTATCGTTTTTAGAGATTTACATGCTGCCTGGTAGGTAAAGGTGTAACTTATCTTAGAAAAAATGTAGAATACCGAAAAAACTAAACACGTTCTAAATCTAAGCGCCAATCTATACGTCTAAAAACCGACTTAGATGCGATTTTTATTGCACTAAAACTAGAACTAACACTACACCTAGAACTAGAAAGTTTCGGGTTTAGCCGTGCGTCTTCAGGCGCATATTCTTGGTGTTGCAAAAAGAACAGTTGAGATGAGTAAAAAATCAAAAAGAAGAAAAAAAAACCAAGAGAAGGGAAACATAAAATAAAAATTAGAGATGAACAACACCGTTTCTTTGAATTTAAAGTTGAAGAAAATCCTAAAATCACACTTAACCAGTTGCAAGAAACATTACGAAATGTTTACATTGAAACAAATACGTTTTGAACCGGAAAGAACCAACAGCGTCGATGTGAAAATAAAAACATCTAAATACATAAGAAATTTCTTTATCTCGCGAAGTCTAGGTTATTAAAAAAAAGGGAAGTCATTGTACTTTCATTGCTGCCAGTAGCTGGGGAGCAAATGTTCATCTTACCGGATGTACCAGTAGCTTGAGATTGATTTGTCATGAATTAAGTTAGGGAATGATAACGCTCCTTGTCATTGTGGTGTTGAAGAACAAGAATTTCTTCATCATAAACTTGTAAGGCTAAGTCCTTAAAATCCAATGCTAAACCCAAGTGAACACGCTTGGTCAATTTTGAAAGAAGGTGTAAAGACGGACTTCGCAAATGCAATTACAAATATTTTGGAGGGAAATGACAGAGAAAATTTGTCTCAAACAGAGTACAGAATTCGAAAATTAGGAAAAAATATAATTAGGAACTAAGTATAACAGGTTTATAGCCAGAATTCAAAAGAACATCACCTCTATTTTAAACATGGAGGATGTCACCTTTTGAGTTAACAATATTGTTTATTATCAAGTATAAAATTATGCGTTTAAAACGTTAATCACGAAAAAAAACTTTCATTTGTCAATGTCAACTTTAATTTTATTATTATATTCGTAATCTTCATAAAATAACATTTAAAATNGGAAACATAAAATAAAAATTAGAGACGAACAACACCGTTTCTTTGAATTTAAAGTTGAAGAAAATCCTAAAATCACACTTAACCAGTTGCAAGAAACATTACGAAATGTTTACATTGAAACAAATACGTTTTGAACCGGAAAGAACCAACAGCGTCGAAGTGAAAATAAAAACATCTAAATACATAAGAAATTTCTTTATCTCGCGAAGTCTAGGTTATTGAAAAAAAGGAAGTCGTTGTACTTTCGTTGCTGCCAAAAGCTGGGGAGCAAATGTTCATCTTACCGGATGTTCCAGTAGCTTGAGATTGATTTGTCATGAATTAAGAAGGGGGTCATTTAAAAGAGAAGAGGCTAATGAGTTTGTTAGGGAATGATAATGCTCCTTGTCATTGTGGTGTTGAAGAACAAGAATTTCTTCATCATAAACTTGTAAGGCTAAGTCCTTATAGATAATTATAGTTAAAATCCATTATACCAGTTGTTTGATACGTGAGAAGGTAATTAAATTTAATATTCCTAGTATTGTACTTTTGATTATTTCGCTGCACTCGTTTTATATTTAGATTCAGAACGTTCTTTTTAACGTGTCGATCTGTTGTGTGTCGTAACCTCAAAGTAATTTTATTTAAAATATTTACAATTACACTTAATACTCTGCAATATGACATCTTAGTTAACTCTTATGACATTGTAAGTACACTTTTATATTTTTATATGATTTTTTGTATTTCGATACCTTACTTTGAAAACCTCGTAAGTGCATTTTCCTATGTTTTGCAGAAGCAAAGAAAAACTGTTTTGTGTTAGTTGTAACTAAGTTTTGAAAACAAAATTTTAGTATGTTATTTATTTAAGCATATAGAAACAATTNTTGGACTCATTTTAAAGGATTTTTCACAACGATTACAAATATGTCAAAATTGACGTTGACATTCTTAACCGGAATTTGACCATAACTTCATTAATATTGAAGATAAATATGTCGTGTTTGTACTCATTTTAAAACATTTTTAATGAAGATTACAAATATGTCAAAATTGAGGTTGACATTTTAAATCTGAAGTTAGTTATCACATACAGCGATACAATAAAGTCTACATACAATGACATTTTTTAACAAAACATGTAAGAAGTCCATATTATTTCCATATTTTATATAAAAACTATATAAGTTATTATTAATCAAGGGGAACACAAATCATAATCATATCTTTACCTCAAAAAAATCTACATACAGTCCTAATAAAAAAGTCTAGTGTCCGTTATAGCTCAATAAAAATATACAACTATCTAGCGCTGAATAATTAATAAAACTAGACTAACACTAGCACTAGACATAGAACTAAAAACATTCCGTTTACTCGTGCGTCTCTTAAAACATAGAACTACAAGTGTAAAACTAGAACTAACATAGACCTAGAACCAGAATAATGGGAAGCGCTCGACTAAACCCGAAACTTTCTAGTACTAGAATTTAACCAGTTATTCATGTTGCAAGTGAAAAATATAAAAAAATTTCAAAAACAGATAAAAACTTCTAACTTGCTTTATTGTAATATATAAATCGGAACCGGTTTCGAAATCAACGTTCCATCATCAGCCGAAAGCTAATAAGAATTAAAAATAATTAAAAACAAAAACTAATATTAAAATAAGACAACAACTTACTGTCAGAGAAGCTAATAGGCGAGAAGAGATTTATTTAATGATGACATTTGTTGTTAAAGAAAAATATTTTTTTAAATAATTTTACAAACGAATCGCAAAAATAAAATTTAAGTAAGATGGAAATTAAAATCTCAGTTAAAGTTACAAAGGTGCGAAACGTGGATTGTTATAAAATTGTGAAACACTAAAAATATATATAAATTAATATAAAATGTTATGAAAAGGCTTAGAAAAACTTACATTTAGAGACTGATGGTCATCAAAAATTGGAGAAAAATCAGAAATCTATTTAATGTGTTCGGTGTTACGAAACAACCATATTGGTGGAAAGAGAAAAAGAGACTGTCGTTGGATGACATGCAAAGTGGACGCGTAGTAGGAAATCGGAAAACAAACAAAAAACTTGAAAATCTTTAAACTTTAAATTTTAAGGTTAAAGCCCTTTAGAAATGAAAATAAAGGTTTTTGTTAATAAAGAGCCTATTAGCTTCTCTGACAGTAAGTTGTTGTCCTATTTTAATATTAGTTTTTGTTTTTAATTATTTTTAATTCTTATTAGCTTTCGGCTGATGATGGAACGTTGATTCCGAAACCGGTTCCGATTTATATATTACAATAAAGCAAGTTAGAAGTTTTTATCTGTTTTTGAAATTTTTTTATTTTTTTCTAGTACTAGGTCTAGTGTTAGTTCTAGTTTTAATTGTAATTCAGCGCTATATTGTTGTATATTTTTAATGAATGAAAAGTAGAACTAACACTAGACCAAGAATTAGAATCATTCGGGCTTAGCCGTCTTTAAAGACGTGCAGCTAAACCCAAATGATTCCAGTTCTTGATCTAGTGTTAGTTCTACATAGATAACAGTGCTAGTATACAACTAGAACTAACACTAGACCTAGAACTAAAATCGTTCGAGTTTAGCCGTTTTTACAGACGTGCGGCTAAACCCAAATGATTCTAGTTCTAGGTATAGCGTTAGTTCTACATAGATAACAGTGCTAGTGAAAAACTAGAACTAACACTAGACCTAGAACTAGAATCATTCGGGTTTAGCCGTCTTTACAGACGTGCGGCTAAACCCAAATTTTTCTAGTTCTACGTCTACTGTTTGTTCTAGTTTTAGGGCCGGTTTATCAATGTCGGGTTAAATCTGTTAGATACGCACCTCATGGATAAACTTGTCTAACAGATAACCTCAGTGAAGCGTCTACAAGATAGAAAGTAGATGGTACCCCTGAGTGTTAACATTAGAAACGGAAATGAAACGTGACTGGTGAAATTTGAATAATTGACTTTAGTTTATGAAGTCGATATCAACAGCTGATTGTGTTTTGGAGATTATCATTCCCGTGTGCTTTCGGTATTGTGCGTTGTTTTCGAAAACCTCTTTTATAATAGAATTCCTACAAGAATATTTATTAGACAGCGATGACGATGAGGATATTGTCCAACTCTTAAATTATAAACGACGACCATATATTATAAAGAAAGACAAAACCACTTTAAGGAGTTGGACGACCACGACTTTTTTGTTAGATTTCGATTAAAAAAGGACACAGTTTTGTCAATATTGGTTAAAATTGAAACGAGATTATGTATTAGATTACATTATTATTTTTTTTAATTATTAGATTATTTTTTATTTTCTATAACATTTTTATATTTGTTTGCCAAATCTATCAGCAAGTTCTTTTCTGCTGTACTAAAATTGGATGATCTTTTTACTTTCTCTTGCTTATCCATCACCACAATTTTATTATAAGCTTAATTTATTTTTGACGTTATATTTTGATTTTGTTGTCATTTCCTTTCACCAAGCAACCAAACTTGCGAGCACATTTTTTTTAAATTTTCGATAATATCTAATAGGTAAACTCTCAACCAGTACTTCAATCTGGCGAGTATCCAAATGTCATATTTACCTATAAGCTGACCCTAAACTACGGATGGATAAACGATTCGTCGTATTTATCAGCTACAATTTTAATTGACAGATAAATCGTTTTAACTAGATATTGATAAACCAGCCCTTAGTGCAATAAAAATATACAACATAGTGATATCTAGCAACATCATGTTTAGACTCATTCTAATGTTTTTTTTTAATAAAGAATTCATCATAAAAGAACACCATGAAGTTGTCTATTTGTCTATTCTATGATAACTAACTTCAGATTTAAAATGTCAACCTCAATTTTAACATATTTGTAATCTTCATTAAAAATCCTTTAAAATGAGTACAAACACGATATATTTATCTTCAATATTAATGAAATTATGGTTAACTTCCGGTTAAGAATGTTAACGTCAATTTTGACATATTTGTAATCGTTGTGAAAAATTCTTTAAAATGAGTCCAAACATGATACGTTTAATTCCAATATTACGCGAGATATAAGCAACTTCCGGTTTGAAATGTCAATGTCATTTTGACATATTCTTAATTTTTATAAAATGTCTTAATATTTGTCACAAAAACAAAAATATAAAAAAAAAAAATAAAAAATTAAGGTTGGTATTAATATTTAAAAATTAAATTGCTATCTTCATTGTTGCTAACTTCGGGTTTAATGTTTTTTATTCTAACTTTTTTGTTTTTTGAGATAAGTGCGTCATCTTTGGACTCATTTTAAAGGTTTTTTAATGAAGATGACAAATATGTCAAAATTGACGTTGACGTTTCAAACCGGAAGTGATTGTATTTCCATTAATATTAAAGTTAAATATGTCGAGTTTGGACTCATTTTAAAGGATTTTTTATGAAGTTGACAAATATGTCAAGATTAAAAGTTGAAAGTTCGAACTTTTTGGTTATTTGAGATAAATGCATTATGTTTGGACTCATTTTAAAGGTTTTTTAATAAAGAATACATCATGAAAGAACACAATGAAATTGTCTATTATTTGATAACTAACTTCAGGTTTAAAAATGTCAACCTCAATTTTGACATATTTGTAATCTTCATTCAAAATCCTTTAAAATACACATTACACATACAAATTAACATTGACGTTGACGTTTCAAACCGGAAGTAATTGTATTTGAATTAATATTAAAGTTAAATATGTCGAGTTTGGACTCATTTTCTCAACATTATTCATTTGTCGCTTAGTCAAGTGATGCACAAGTCAAAAAAGTTGACGCATTAAAAAGTTTTGATGTAAAGTATTATAGGGGTTGATTCCAAATCTAAATTTTTTCTAAATCCAAACAATTTTTTTTTTGGGTTTTGAACAAAAAGTTATATGAATTAATTTTTGCTAAAAAATCACTCCTTGAAATTCGCATCAATTTAGAAACACCTGTATATGGTTTATATGATCGCTTTTAGTTCGACATTTCAATTAAAACTAACACAACCTCAATTATTAATACTGAATAAACTTAATATTTAATTTTTTCTTACCTGTCCAATAAGAACTTGCATACACTCAATACAAAAACAATGTCCGCAAGTCATAATGTTCCATTGCAAATTTAAAACACACTTACAAATGGGACAAGGATCAGGATCTTCCCCTTTTAATTGTTGTTTATGCAGCGTTCGAAGATACTTGTAAGTACCGATATTTTCATCTAACATTTTTAGAGAACACCGTTCTTGTGAGCTTAAATGAGCTAATTGATATGGAATCTAAAAAAAAATAAAATAAAATAACCATAATTATTTTAATTAATTAATTAACTTACTTCAGTTGGGTCTAAATATTGAATATCTTCGTTATAATTTTTTATATCGTTATCTAAAGCTTTAAGAATATTTTTGTACTGAGAATTTTTGGGTAAAACTTCATCATTTTCTTTTTCCTTTAATTGCAAACGAATCTTACACATACTCAGCTCATCTTTCGCCTTAACCACATCATCAATTAACCGCCATAATTTTCGAATTTCTTTGAACTGTTTTTTTAATAACTCGAGAATCTCTAAATGTATCGCGGCATCGTGAAGAAGCGATTTGTCAGCTTTTAAAGCTTTTCCGCTGCTTAATAAAGCTCGTAACATCGTTTCTTGCACACAAGGTTTCCAACATCCGGTATTTGCCGCGTTATCATCACGATTTAAAGTCATACTAAATAAACAGCTTTCGTATTCTTTTAATTTTACGTCGGCAAAACAAATTGGGCAAATTTTTTCTTTAATTTTTTTTCGTTTGGTTTTTTCTGGTCTTAAATGGCACTCACAAGCTGATTTGATTAGATTTTCTGGAATCGTGTAAGAATCATCTTCTTCCTTGAATACTAAAAGTTCGTTTATTGATGATTCAACTATGCTTTTATTTAATGTTAATTTTTCGTCCCATGTTGTAACTTCGTACAAAATTGCACGTTCGGTATTGTAGTTATCTACATTATCGGAATAAACGATATTTGAGGATAACGCTAAAAATTTTTTGTAATACTCCGAGAAATAATTCTTTACAGTTATTAAATTTAAAACATCCGCGAACCATTGTCCCGGTTCTAAAACAAATTTGTTTTGTAATTCGGAAATTTGCGATATAAATTCGGAGTTATCTCGTTTTGTTGTTAAAACTGGTTTCATAAATTTTTCGATGTATTCAACCTCAATCTTTTTTAAGTTACATTTGAGATTATCGTCTTCGACGCATTTCGGGATCGTTTCGTGCAATTCTAAGATTTCTATTAAGTTGTAAAGGACATGAATTTGTTGTAATTTATCGACCTCTAACCCAATTTCGTTTTGATCTTGCACATACTCTTTAGAAATCGCCATCACTTTTCGATACATATCCGCGGCAGCTTTTGGATTAGTTTGAATCAAAAAAAGTCCCGCCAAACCATTCATCGCCGAAACCAAAGATCTCAACGATTCCTCACATTGAACTAAACTAGTCGCGATTAAAGCATCTAATAAATTTTCCATCGATTTAACCGATTTTTTCGTAGCTAAATAGCGCCCACGCACGGTTTGGTGATGAACACAAGCTTGACGTAAAGATAATAAAGGGATCATTATTTTCTTTAAAAGTGATTTGTTTAATGATTTAAGAGGTAGTGTTAAATCGATGTCTTTTAGGGTTGCAAAAAATTCTGTTGTGCTTAATTCTTGTTCGCGGTCGTAAAAAAACTTTTCCACCGCGGTGAAATTAACCCAATACTCTTTGGTGGTTTGTGAAGGAATATTAATTTGATCGAGAACGTCATTTTTTGAAGTCCTCCATAAAATGGTTGATAAAAATCGGTGCATATTCCCTTTTCGATTATTAATATAAGGTAAATACAAAATATTTCTCCAAATATCTTCATCGGAATACGGAGTTATTTGCAAATAATCAATTAATCCAAATAAATCCGAAATATCCTTCGAAATTGGAGTTCCCGTGACGGCCCAACGATATTGCGCGCTTAATTTCTTAGCCATAACCGAAATTAAAGAGTTTGGAGTTTCAACCGTTTGGGCTTCATCTAAGCATAACCTCCACCAGTTTATTAAAGAAATTGGACTTCCTGGTAAGGCGTATTTCGATGGGCGCCGCAACGAAATCGGTTCACCGTTTTCGCGAAGTCTTAATTCGCTTTGTAACACGTTATAAGTTGTTATTACGATGTCGTATTCTAATAAATCCGTTGGGTAAACGCATTGAATGTTTTGACCCGTTCCGTATTGTAAAACTTTGAAATTACCATTGACGTGTTTACAAATTTCGTCGCACCATTGTTGTTTTAGCGATATAGGGGTTATTATTAATGTTGCTTTTGATACAAGTAGTGGCTAAAAAAATATGAATCTATTAGTAACAGATGTCAATTTATCAATTGGACCGCGTTATACAGTGACACAGAAAAGTATACATACAAAAAATTAGAAGTATGAAACGTTTATTAAATGAATTAGTATTAAGTATAATACTTGAAATTGAAGAATTAACTGCGTGTTGGACAACATTTATTAACAATAATAACCAACATTAATTTTTTAAACACAGAAAAGTATACATACGGCTAGATTTTAAAATTTTGTAAGTTGGCATTCATGAAAACAAGAAGCGGTAGACCTCCAAAAATATCTCCACGAATAAAACGATTCATATTAGGAGAAATTAAACAAAATCCTAGAACCAGCGCCGTGGAAGTAGCGAAGAGACTGGAATGTAACAATACAGGGTGTTCCAACATGTACTAGAGTGAAAATTATGACGATTCATGTAAAAAAAATCCATCAAAGTTAGGAAATTTTAACACATTTTTCTAAATATCTTAAACACTATTTATGGTAAAGCGTTAAAATTTGGTACAGTGTAAACTAATATCACGTAAAATCATTGGGTAATTATTGAGTTGGATCCGTACGCGGGAACAATGCCATACAGGGTGTTCCTAAAGTTTGTTTGCTCAGAACTTTTTTATTCTATCATAACCCTACATATATTTTTGCAGTTTCTAATAGTAAATTTAGTTTAGAAACTTTTATCATTCTTAGAGAATATTGATAAAAACCCCCGTTTTCGTATTAAATGCAAAAATGTTAGGGTCCGAAATTACTCTTGATTGACTCTCAATGAATGTCAATGACTCTTTCTGGGCCACTGTAATATTTAGTGACGAAAGAAAATTTAATTTATTTGGGTCCGATGGTAAACAAAAGATATGGCGAAAAAAAAAATGAAGAGTTATTACCTAAAAATTTGATACCTATCGTAAAACACGGTGGCGACAATGTCATGGTTTGGGGTTCCATGTCGGCGGCTGGGGTGGGAAATTTTGTTTTTATAGAGTCCACAATGGATCGTTTACTATATTTAAATCTATTAAAAAATAATTTAAAACAATCGGCGACAAAAATGGGGTTGAGTGAGGGTTAGTATTTCCAACAAGATAACGACCCTAAACACACCGTCCACATTGTCAAGGAATAAATAATTAAAAGGTATAATGTTCCCCATCAGCTGCATTCCAAACCTCAGTCGTCTGATTTAAACCCGATTGAGCATTTGTCGGCCTAATTCGAAATAGGTCCATAAGAAATAAACAGGACCTCAAAAACATATTAATTCAGGAATGGAATGCAATTTCAGCAGAAACCACAAAAAAGTTGGTATATTCTATGAAAAATAGAATCAATGCTGTAATTGAAAGTGATGGTGACCCCACCAAATATTAATACTATGTTTTTGTGGTCCTGCTTATAAATATAATTAAGCGTATTTATACTTTTCTATATTACAAATACTGTATTTCGCCCGTTGTTGTTAATAAATGTTGAACACTCAATTTATTCTGCAGTTTTTTTATTGTATGTTTTACTTCTAACTTGCAGAAATTACTCAAAACGGAGTTATACTAGGTGTATGTATACTTTTCTGTGTCACTGTACATTACTTGACTAAGCGACATTTTATCGTATTTAAGGTGTAACTTATCTTACAATTAGAAAATACTATTTGTTTTAAAGACTAAAGCCAAGTGAGTCCAAACTTGACGCATTTATCTCAAAAAACCAAAAAATTCGAACTTTCAACTTTTAATTTTAACATATTTGTCAACTTCATAAAAAAATCCTTTAAAATGAGTCCAAACTCGACATATTTAACTTTAATATTAATGGAGATACAATCACTTCCGGTTTGAAACGTCAACGTCAATTTTGACATATTTGTCATCTTCATTAAAAAACCTTTAAAATGAGTCCAAAGATGACATTTATCTCAAAAAACAAAAATGTTAGAATAAAAACATTAAACCCGAAGTTAGCAACAATGAAGCAATTTAATTTTTAAATATTAATACCAACCTTAATTTTTTATTTTTTTGTATTATATTTTTGTTTTTGTGACAATTAAGACATTTTATAAAAATTAAGAATATGTCAAAATGACATTGACATTTCAAACCTGAAGTTGCTTATATCTCGAATAATATTGGAATTAAACGTATCATGTTTGGACTCATTTTAAAGGATTTTTCACGACGATTACAAATATGTCAAAATTGACGTTGACATTCTTAACCGGGAGTTGACGTTAACTTCATTAATATTGAAGATAAACATGTCGTGTTTGTACTCATTTTAAAGGATTTTTAATGAAGATTACAAATATGTCAAAATTGAGGTTGACATTTTAAACCTGAAGTTAGTTATCATGTAATAGAAGTTTCATAACTGAAGTTAATCTAGTGTTAGTCACTTTTCCGCACTTTCTTTTCATTTTTAACGTGTTTTTTGGGTCATTTCACATTGGTTAAAAAAAATCGTCGATTTTTAAACCAAATGATGATTCTTGAATTTTTCCCAAATTTCTTAATATTTTTTTTTGTTAAAAAAGAGCGTTCTTAAATTTTAACCTGTAAACTTGTAACACTTTGTCCTTAATTTCATTTTCCAACTTTTTAAACATTAATTTTGTAAATTAGTAACTAATAATCTGATTTCGACTTTTATATGTGATGTTTTTTAACAAAACAAAAAGAAATATTAAGAAACTTGTTTGTAAAATGGATTAGATGAGAGATGTTAATCTATTTGTAGAGTCGCTGAAGATGGCCAAGGGCCGAAACTGGTTAGACTTAAATTCTATAATTTTTCCTGTTTTTCTGAAACTATTGTTATTGTTTTTCTGAAAATCCTGTTTTTCTCAACATTCTTCATTTGTTGCTTAGTCAAGTGATGCATAACGTGGTCCAATTTGTAGTTAGGTAATGGAATTCATTACATCACTACTATCCGTGCAAAAAGTCAAGGCCCCTCACTTTAGAGATCGATTTATCGCGAGTTAAGTGAAAAAAGTACCCGATTTTTTAAGAGTGATTTAATGGAATTACAAATTAAAGAGAAACAGAAATAAGCGAAGCGGGGAGAGGAGGGTTCCGTCCAATCGGAACAGATGGTGTGTTCCAGACAGTACGTCGCGCCTTTATCTTACCTACATAAAAAAATAAGGCGCCGACGTCCTGTCTGGGACGCGCCAGTTGTTCCGATTGGACGGAACCCCCGTCACCCCGCAGAGCTTATTTCTGTTTTTCATTGAGGTCTTATATATAATCTAGAGTGCGTATGTGGTGGTGGTGGGGGTAATCAGAAAGTCAGACATGTTGGATGTACCGACCTGAACTTTGCTATAGTTTCAAGTCTCTATTATACCTACAAATCCTACAATTATAACCTCACAATTCTCATAAACATATTGTTATTTTTAATAAAATTTTATTTTTGTTGAAGGTGTTAGAATTCTTTTTGTTTCACATATAATTTTATAATTTAGTAGGTTGGAACATTAATTACAACAGTCCATAAAATGTTTCTGGTTACTTGACTTGAAATTAACAATTGAAGTTCAAGTAAAGTTTATTATTAACGTTTCAGTTCTTTTAAAATAAACAGAATTGTTTTAAATATTTTCTTCTTAGTTTATGTTAATTATAAGGGTAATTGTTAAAAATTATTAAGTTCTTTTAAAATATTATATAATTAATAATTATTTATCAACAAAAAATTAATGCGTTTTGTTTTGGTTATTATTTTCTGTCTTTCCAGTTTATAATAATGTAAATTCTTGCATAAATATAGGGTAATTCAAATTCGACCCCCACCATTGGGATCTCAGAAACCATAAGAGATACAGAAATGGTTAAATGGGGGCAAAGTTGCGTATCTTAGAGCTCATTATTTTTCAACAAAGTCTTTGGATCTAGCCGTTTTAGTTTTTAAAATATGGCCGAAAAACAAACAAATTACTTTTTCGTTTTTTGCCTATAACTCATTTATTTTTGTTTTTTCATGAATCTGAAAAAAAATTCTTAAGGCAACTTTTTATGAAAAATGTCATGACACAACTAGAAATTTTCTCCGACGTTTGGTTTTCGTGAAACTATCATCAGGTTTATTCTTTTTTTTGAATAATTCAATGTTTTTTTAAATGAAATATATTGTGTGACATATCATTGAAATCAGAATTAGTTATCCTATTTTTTGGTGTGAAAATCAAATATGGTGTTCATAAGAAAAAATAAAACCGAAAAAATAAAAATAAACCTAATGATAGTTTCACGAAAACGAAACGTCGGAGAAAACTTCTAGTTGCGTCATGACATTTTTCATAAAAAGTTGCCTTAAGACTGTTTTTTCAGATTCATGAAAAAACAAAAATAAATGAGTTATAGGCAAAAAACGAAAAAGTAATTTTTTTGTTTTTCGGCCATATTTTAAAAACAAAAACGGCTAGATCCAAAGACTTTGTTAAAAAATGATGAGCTCTAAGATACGCAACTTTGCCCCCATTTAACCATTTCTGTATCTCTTATAGTTTCTGAGATCCCAATGGTGGGGGTCGAATTTGAATTAGGCTGTATATAAGAGTTTCGAATTTCCCGCTAAGTTGGTCATCTAACATGGCGACCATTCTGGCTTCATTTTAGGCGTGGTGGGGACAACAGCATAAGCACTCTAGATTATACAGGTGTCTGGTATCTTCCGCATCAGAGCATTATACGGTTGTAAATTACATTATTCTGAAGCGATCTTCCTAATAAAATTTTTTGAAATGTTTAAAGTAACCGCACAGGAACTGTTTAACGACGACCTTCCCGTGACGAATTTATTGGTGAGTACGCGTGGGAAACAAGTTATCATCGGCGTAGCGGCCTGGCCGATGGTGGCACCGATTACCTGAGTCTGATTTGCGATCTACTGAAAAACAGTTCGTTTAAACAGTTCCCGTGCGGTTATTATAAAAATTTCGAAAAAATGTTATTAGAAAGATCGCTTCAGAATAATGTATCCTACAACCGTATAATGCTCTGATGCGGAAGATACCGGACACGCTGTATATAAAACCTCAATGCTGTTTTTCTTTAATTTGTAATTCCATTAAATCGCTCTTCAAAAATTAGGGAGCTCAAGGGGAGCTCTAATTTTGAAAAACTGATAACGGAATCTGACAACCGACATTATTTGACACATTTTGGTCAAATCCGCGAGGAAATCCATCCAGCCGTTTTCACATAACGGCGTCTTACTAAACCGCGATTTTCCGCGAAACTGTATGGAATATCGAAAAAATAAAATATGCCACTCATTAAAAACACATCAGACTACCACCTGTTCAAAATTCAAATTTTTTCGTACGATAGTTTTCGAGAAAAAAATCGCAAAGTTGACAAAGTTGCCGGTACCGTAAAAAATCGGGTACTTTTTTCATTTAACTCGCGATAAAAAGAAAACCGTGGATCCGAAAATTTTCAAATTGACATATGTTACGGAGAAATCTTCAGTGATTACAACAAACTTTGTCGCAATTTTTTTTATCGATCTCTAAAGTGAGGGGCCTTGACTTTTTGCTCGGATAGTAGTGATGTAATGAAATAAATACATCACTAGGTATAAGAAAAGTGACGTTACAAACGTTAGAAAGACATGTAAAATTTAATTTTCATAATGGAATTAGGTAATAGTATATTAAAAATCTAGTTTCGTAAGACACGTTTGAAATGTATGAAAATTCAAGTTTTTTAATGAATGAGTGCTTTAAGTCTTATGAAACGTGTTTTTTATGCTATTTTTTGTAATTAGTGTAGTTAATATAGTAGGAGTCTCATTACAGCACCCTTTTGAGTACTGTAATAGCTTTCATTACCGTCGCGAATTACAAAAAATTAAATTTTCATAATGGAATTTTATTAAAATAAAATTTATTTACCTCTTGAATCCAACATTGAGGGCAAATATAAGCACCAAATTTTTCTTGATACCCCAAACAACCCGAATGTTGTTGTTTCCCACATTTTGAACATTCAACAACATCCTCCTCCTTCTTATCACCACAAACGCATTGAAGTAACGACTTTTTTTCCACATTTTTGTTTAATCCCAACATGTTATTGTACCAGGCTTCTAACGCGCGGCGATGAAGCGATTTTTCCCGTTTATTTTCCCGCTTAGGTTTTTTTTCGGCAATTACGTGAGTGATATCTTCAGAAAAATTTGATTTTCTTTTACGAACTTTAGTCGAAATTTCAATGGTGGGTGTTTCACTTTCAAGTGAATGATTTACCTCGTTTTTTGTATAAATGGGATAAATAGATTGTCTAGTGTGGATTAGTGTAAGTGCTAAAATTTCGACTGTTTTGCCTAATCCCATTTCATCAGCAAGGATACCACAAGATTGAAATGATTTTATGATGGGGGGATATGGCTCAATGTGCCCTGTGTATTTATCGAAATAAATTTCGGTTTTGTTGTTTAATGTGATTTTTTCGTATAAAGGATTAATTATTTCTACAAAAAAAGGAGATAATTACTGTTTAAGAATGACACTTTGATTAATAAGTTTTTACCCTTTTCTTGGATTACACTTTCTCTATGTAACATCCATTGTACTGCTGATTGTTGATAAGGTCGCAATTCTGGCTTTAATTGGACGTGATTAATTTCTTTATTGGGGAATGGTTCTCTTAATTCAGCAATATTTTTGTATAAATCATCAAAATGCTCGATTATACACGAACTTTTAATACTGGCTTTATCTACAAAAGAGATCTTAGTTAAATTTCTAACTTTTTTCATTTCCAAAAACCACACAAGTAAGTATTGGGTTACGATTACTCACCATTATTATCAGAAGATATATTTTGAGTCAAAAAAAACACAGTCTTTAAAACCGATCCTATTTTAGAAGAAAATTTCGGCAGTGGCAATTCTTTCAGGTATAACGTTACAATTACATTTTCATCTTCAATTTTTAGATCAAAATTAAATAATTTTATAAACAATAAATCTAAAATTAAAAAAAATAAAATAAGTATAGGCAACCAAACATACATCAAATATGTCAAAATTTAAAACATAACCAAAAAAATTTTTTTTATAATAATAACAACAAACATTTAATAAACAATCTTACCTTTCAAAAACTGCATCTCAATCGTAACATTTACAACAACAACCTCTTTATCGAAGTGTAAAATAACCATTTCATTATCCCAATTGAGTTCTGCATCGCAATGGGTCCAAGTTAAGGGTAATAAGTTATTGGTGGTTCCAAACCACACATTTCCTAAGCAAAATTCTTGATTATCAGGATTTACCTTAGAAAACTTGTAATTTCCCGATGGGGCTCCTTTACGTGCGGACGATTTATGCGGTTTTTGAGTCTTTTTCACTTTCGGGACGTAATCGGAGACCCCGCGGTACATATCTACAAATAAACGCAATCACAACATTAGGAATTAACGACAATTAAAGTGAAAATAGAAGTTGTACGAAGGAGCCGAAGTCAAACCAACGGTGTAAATGATGTAAATAATGTAGGTGTGGGGAAGTTATAAAAGATGGCGCTGTTTTGATATGAATAATTATGTTTATTTAATACATGGGGTTATGTTAATATGAAAAATGATTGTTTTAGGAATTAATTAGAGCTTGAATAATGTTTTAATAATAAATAATGTAATAAAATTAATAAATCGAAATTGATTCGATAATTAATTCATAGATGGCGCTTTTTGAAGTTTGACGTTTTAAAAAACGTTGAATCAAAATAATTTGATTGAAATTCGTTCTAATTTAAAGTTTTAATAAAAACAAGCTTATAAATTAGGAATAAATTCATTTAAAACTTAAAGTTTCGTTAATACGAATTAAAATCGAAATTCTTTTCTAATTCAAGTCAGTTATAAAAGATGGCGCTGTTTTGATATGAATAATTATGATTATTTAATACACGGGGTTATGTTAATATGAAAAATGATTGTTTTAGGAATTAATTAGAGTTTGAATAATGTTTTAATAATAAATAATATAATAAAATTAATAAATTTAATTCTCGAAATTGGTTCGATAATTAATTCATAGATGGCGCTTTTTGAAGTTTGACGTTTTAAAAAACCTTGACTCAAAATAATTTGATTGAAATTCGTTCTAGTTTAAAGTTTTAATAAAAAAAAGGTTATAAATTAGGAATAAATTCATTTAAAACTTAAAGTTACGTTAATACGAATTAAAATCGAAATTCTTTTCTAATTTAAGTTGTTATAAAAGATGGCGCTGTTTTGATGTGCATAATTTGTGATTAATAATGATTATTTAAAAGATGGGGTTGTATTAATATGAAAAATGATTGTTTTAGGACTTTGAGATAGAGTTTGGATAATATTTTAATAATAAATAACGTAAATATATTGAATTGTCGAAATTGATTCGGTAATAAATTCATAGATGGCGCTTTTTAATGTTTGACGTTTTAAAAAATTTTTAATCAAAATAATTTTATTAAAATTCGTTTTATTTTAAAGTTTTAATTAAAAAAAAGCTTTAAGAATTAAAAATAAATTAATTTAAAACTTAATTTTTCATTAATTCAAATTAAAATCGAAATTTTTTTCTAATTCATGAAATGTCAACTTGAAAATAAAGTTTTAACAAAGAAAGAAAGTAAAGATTAAAAAAAAGTCTTAAGAATAGCTTGTTTTCGAAAATTACAAAAAAGAATGTAAGAAAAAGAACTTGAGAGGTCTCTGAAAAGAATGAATTGTTTGTGGTGGGGAATGAGAGAGAATGGAATGGTCTCCAAACGCTTCGAAGTCGCGTGGTTTTAGATAGTGGAAACGGTATAAAAAAATAATATCACATTCAATGTTATTTATATAAAAGGCGGTGAGAGACTCATTCAAAAGTTGAGTGAGTTATAAAATGCGAAAAATGTGCCGTGAATAAATTAAAGAATAACAACTGGTACCAAGTTTTAATGAGTTTTTTGTGTTAATTTAAGGTTCTTTTCATTAACAATAAGAATTTGTTAAGGTAAGTAACCACACAAAAAGAAAAAATTCGTTTTAATTTTAATTTAAGATTTACTTAAATTAAAAAAGTTAAAAATTACATCATTTTTCTTCTTCGGTCGAAATTGTCTTTAAATGACCTTGGTTAAATTAAAATTAAGTAAGAATTAAAAATTTTAATTTCATTTAAGTTTCCACAAAAACAATTTGACCCAATCCCTTTTTTTAAAATTTTTTAAATAAATAAAGTCGTTTTTGTAACGCTATTTTTGTGTTTATTATTTGTGTTTTGGCACAAATCTTATTTTCAATTTCAACCGAGAAAAAGATATCTCCAAGGTTATTTTGTTAACGTTATTTCTAGATTCAGGAGTTCCCTTAGCATCACCTTATCCGTTCTTATCACCTTACTGGAACTTCTCACATTTTTTTTTATAACGAGAACCGAGTTTATCTTTGTGTCAATATTTCTGATGGAATGAATCTATATTTATCAATTCGTAATTTATTAAAACATAAACGTTAAAATTAAATGAATTGGCGATAATTTATCGTTTTAAAATTAGAATTATCTTTTTTATAATCCAATTGCAAAAAAAAAGGATAATGCCAAGGTTACAATAAAAATAATAGAAAGTTAACACAATATACAGGGTGAGTTATCAAATCATTTGATTGTGAGATGGAAAAAAATGTTTTAAACAAAACTCACCACTTTCTATAACATAAAATTATTTTCATTTATACAGGGTCTTGCATTTAAGCGTGATTTTTAAGCCTGTATATTTTTTCATATTATGAATATACAGAATGTATAAAAACGATCGGTTATCTCCTAAAGTAAGAAATAAGCAAAAATGTTAAGATACAAAAGTTTTAGAGTTTTTTAAAATCTATTATAATATGGGATGATATACAGGTGTTCCATTAAAGAAAACGTAACTTTGCTTCGTCATAACTTTTTGACTCACCCTGTATACTTAATTTGTCTTTATTGTAATAGATTTTAAAAAACACTAAAACTTTTGTATCTTAACATTTTTTGCTAGCTATCTTACTTTAGAAGATAACCGGCCGTGTATATAGGGTGGCCATTATGTATGAAATATAGTATACAGAGTGGTTCAGTTTTTAATCGGGAAACATTACTAGGATGTGGTACTTGCCAAAATAACACAAGTTTCTTATATAAACATAGGGTCGCAACTCTTTTGTTTTCGACCTATGAGCGATCAAAGTTGCATTAATAAACAATTTTTCCATTTTTTTTCGAAAATTTTCTGATGTAAGGGTACAAAAATTGTACGTCATCGTAAAGAGAAAAGTAATCTCTATCAAATGAGCCTAACGAAAGATACATTGCCATTTAAAAGAATCAAGTGTTATTCGTTACTCATTTGTTTTCTGAATTAAAAACAATTGAATGCAGTCTTATTATGGCAAATAAAATATTAAACAACTTTTGTATAAAATGTTTTTTTATAAAGTCAACATTTACGAAGANTGAAATATAGTATACAGAGTGGTTCAGTTTTTAATCGGGAAACATTACTAGGATGTGGTACTTGCCAAAATAACACAAGTTTCTTATATAAACATAGGGTCGCAACTCTTTTGTTTTCGACCTATGAGCGATCAAAGTTGCATTAATAAACAATTTTTCCATTTTTTTTCGAAAATTTTCTGATGTAAGGGTACAAAAATTGTACGTCATCGTAAAGAGAAAAGTAATCTCTATCAAATGAGCCTAACGAAAGATACATTGCCATTTAAAAGAATCAAGTGTTATTCGTTACTCATTTGTTTTCTGAATTAAAAACAATTGAATGCAGTCTTATTATGGCAAATAAAATATTAAACAACTTTTGTATAAAATGTTTTTTTATAAAGTCAACATTTACGAAGATATATACTATATTCCATACTTTTTGTACACACTGTATATTAAATTATACAGGTGTTTCAGTGGAAATTGTAACACATTTTTTTAAATATCTTAAACACTTTTTATGGTATAGCGTTGAAATTTGGTACAGTGTAAACTAATATCAAGTAAAATCATTAGCCAATTTTTGAGTGGGATCGGTACGCGGGTACAATGCCATACAGGTGTTCCTGAAGTTTCTTTGTTCAGAACTTTTTTATTCTATCATAACCCTACATTTATTTTTGCAGTTTCTTATAGTAAATTTAGTTTAGAAACTTTTATCACTCTTAGAGAATATTGATAAAAACCGCAGTTTTCGTATTAAATACAAAAATGTTAGGCTCCGAATTCAATAACACAAAAAAAAAATAAACTGGCAATGACAAGTGAAAATCAAACTGAGCTGTCATAACTATTATGTATGTAACATGTCCAAGTATAGATTTAGCTAAAACACATTTTAATTTAACATTTTAAGTTGGTTTAATAAAAGAATCCAAAAACAATAAATTAAAAATCAACAAAAAATAAACACTAACAGGAATAATAAAAAACGTACATAAAATAACAAGACAAGTAATAAAAATACTAAAGGAAATGTTCAAAAACTTAGATTTCTTTTTTTTACTGCTATTATTGAAATCGGCACCCAACATTATTGCATTTAACACGAAAATGGTGATTTTTATCAATATTATCTAAGAGTAATTAAAGTTTCTAAACTAAATTTACTATTAGAAACTGCAAAAATAAATGTAGGCTTATGATAGAATAAAAAAGTTCTAAGCAAACAAACTTTAGGAACACCTGTATTGTTCTCGCAGACCGATCCAACTCATAAATTCCCTAACGAGTAACTAACTGTACCAAATTTCAGCGCTTTACTGTAAATAGTGTTTAAGATATTTGAAAAAATGTGTTAAAATTTCCTAACTTTGATGGCCAGCCTGTATCTTTGAAATTTGAAGACTTTTACTATTTTTTTTTGCATGAATCGTCATCATTTTCACTCTAGTATATGTAGTTAAATTTCTTTCCCGAGTCACTGAAACACCCTGTATACAGGGTATCACACAATAAACGCTCCAAGCTGTAACTCTGTCATTTATATTCCGATTTTCATGACATGGTTTGATGAATACTACAAATAAATTTTTTTCAAGGCCATCTTCAAATTTAAGCAATTATTAACTTTTGTTTATCAAATTGCTCCATATATTTTTCTTCACATCATTAGATAGAGATTGTTTTTCTGAATCCATTGATATACAATACATCCATTTTGAATGTAATTTTAGCACAAAAAAGTCACCTATATACAGGGTAATTTAAATTCGACCCCCACACCATTGGGATCTCAGAAACCATAAGAGATACAGAAATGGTTAAATGGGGGCAAAGTTAGGTATCTTAGAGCTCATCACTTTTCAACTAAGTTTTTGGAACTAGCCGTTTTAGTTTTTAAAATTTGGCTGAAAAACAAAACAAAGACTTTTTCGTTTTTTGGCAACTTTTTATGAAAAATGTCATAACATAATTAGAAATTTTCTCCAACGTTTCGTTTTCGTGAAACTATCATCAGGTTTATGTTTTCTTATGAACGCCAATGTTTTTTTTCGTTTTACGAAAACGAAATGTCAGAAAAAAATTCTAATTATGTCGTGACTTTAAGAATGTTTTTCCAGATTCACGAAAAAACGAAAAATAAAGAAGTTATAGGCAAAAAGCGAAAGTCATTTTTTTGTTTTTTGGCCATATTTTAAAAACTAAAAGGGCTAGATCCAAAAACTTAGTTGAAAAAGTGCTCATAGGACTCATGAAACCTATTCATTTGATACCTCGCTCATGAAAATCGGAAGGTAAATGACAAAGTTACAGTTTGCGACATTCTTATGTGACAACCTATATATACAGGTGTCTTTTCTCTGCTAAAATTACATTTAAATGGATGTATTGTACATCAATGGATTCAGGAAAAAATCTCTATCTAATGGCGTGAAGAAAAATATACGCAGCAATTTGCAAAAACAAAAGTTAATTATTAACTTGAAATTGAAGATGACGTTGAAAAAATGTATTTGTAGCATCAATTATAGTATTTATAAAACCATTTCATTTGATACCTATGTCATGAAAATCGGCAAGTAAATAACACAGTTACAACAGAGTTTCCCACATAATCGCTTGTCTCACGTTAAATGGACCATCCTGTATATACACAGGCTGAGTTATTAGTATCCCATGCTAAACCGTTTGAAAAAGAAAAAAATGTTTTATATAAAAGTTGTTTGACTCATCACTTTCTATTACGTAAAATTATTTTCACTTATACAGGCTGTCCCATTTATTCGTAACGGAGAGTATGTAGATTTTATGTAAACGGAACACCTTATATATTTTATCATATTATAAATAGCATTAAATTTGTTTATACAACCGAATATGTTATTAACTCATACTTAACTGTGATAGTTTCTGAAATATTCAATTGTTGCAGGATCTTTTTAAAAACGATGTAAAAAGGACATCTTTTTCAATTTTGCCTTGAAACTATGTCAAATAAAAGTCAAAGCCAGTAAGTAGATGATAGTATCCAAAGATATTAGATACGCTATACAGCGTGTTCATAAAGCTTAGTTACTTTTGATATTTTTTAAATGGCTTTTGCTTAAGTTTTTTAAATGGAACATCCTGTATATTGTGTGCTGGTTGAATTACCCATCAAGTTAGCTTTAATTAATGATAAGTATGTCATATATCTAACTTTAGTAATTTCGCTGATATTTAGAATTTAAAGAATAATGTGTAATAAAATATGCGTTATTGTACTGTCTATTTTTATCAGTTTTTTTTGTTCTTCCTTTTATTATTTGATTAATATTTTATAATGTAAAATAATTTTGCTGCCATATACCAGATTTTAATGCGGCTTGGTACTTTATGAGATTTAAAAAGATGTAAGTAATAAAACATGCAATTGTTCTGCCATATAATTTGCGACTTTAGAGAAAATAAGAACATAATATTAAGAGATATCTCAACAGCCCATTAATGCTTGTAGAAGAGAAAATGGGCGACATTTTGAACAACTTCTA